TGGTGGATGGTTAGATACATCTGTTTACTGGTTTGGGAACTGGGATTTCACAGTATCCGAAAGTGTGGCCGGCTCAGGAATTCTGGGAGTCGGTCCACAAGTTTTAATGATGCCAAGGTTGGGAAACCCTGATCTATGTGGTTTATAAGAGTTGGCATCAGTTTGATGGCACATAATCATAATCAAAGAACGGCACACATCAGATACCTTGGCCGGCTTGGTTTTCTGTCAAGTTCTCAAGATGTAAGGTTGAGACTCTTGAAAGAGTGCAGAGAAGAGCAACAAAGATGATCAGGGGACTGGAGTTTATATAGCATGTGAAGAACGGTTGCTGGAATTGGGTATGTCTAGTCTAATGAAGAGAAGGACGAGGGGGGACAGGATAGCAGTCTTCCAATATCTCAGGGGCTGCGACAAAGAAGAGGGAGTCAAGCTGTTCTCCAAAGTGCCTGAAGGCAGGACAAGAAGCAATGGATGGAAACCAATCAAGGGGAGAAGCAACCTGGAATTAAGGGAAATTTCCTGACAGTTGGAACAATTAACCAGTGGAACAACTTGCCTCCAGAAGTTATGGGTGATCCATCACTGGAGGTTTTTAAGAAGAGATTGGACAACCATTTGTCTGGAATGGTGTAGGATTTCCTGCTTGAGCAGGGGGTTGGACTACATGACCTCCAAGGTTCCTGCCAACTCTTTTCCGTTACGTTGCCGTCAACCTTCCCCCCCCCCCAGCTCCTGGGAGAGAGACGTCTAAGCCATCCTCAGCCAATGTTAAAGAAGCGTCTCCCCCTTTTTCTGGCACCGTCCAAAGGCAGCTGCTAAAGGCTGCACAGTCTGTTCGACTCCGTCATGCGGGAACACAGGAAACAGAAGCGGGAAGAGGAGTCAGGAACGGAGACAGTTGACCTCATGGCAATGGGATTTCCTGCCAGCTCAGGATGGGAAAGGACACTTCAACTCAGCAGCGGCCTAGATCAGGGCTAGGCCACCTTGGCTCTTTTATGACTCCTGGACTTCAACTCCCAGAATTCCTGAGCCAGCCACGCTGAGGGGAAAGGGAGAGGTTTCCAAGCTGAGCCATGCTGGCTCAGGAATTCTGGGAGTTGAAGTCCATGAGTCATGAAGGGGCCACAGTTCCCCCATGCTGGCTCAGGGATTCTGGGAGTTGAAGTCCACGAGTCATGAGTGGGCCATAGTTCCCTCATGCTGGCTCAGGGATTCTGGGAGTTGAAGTCCACAAGTCATGAGTGGGCCATAGTTCCCCCATGCTGGCTCAGGGATTCTGGGAATTGAAGTCCACGAGTCACGAAGGGGGCCATAGTTTCCCCATGCTGGCTCAGGAATTCTGGGAGTTGAAGTCCACGAGGACAACGTTCCTCCAGGCCTTCCTGTCCTCTACCATCTTCTGGAGTCCATTTAAATTCACGCCCACTGCTTCAGTGACTCCATCCAGCCACCTCCTTCTCTGTCGTCCCCTTCTTCTCTTGCCCTCCATCTTTCCCAGCATCAGGCTCTTCTCCAGGGAGTCCTTCCTTCTCATTAGGTGGCCAAAGTACTTGAGTTTCCACTTCAGGATCTGGCCTTCTAAAGAGCAGTCAGGGTTGATCTCCTCTAGGACTGACCAGTTGGATCACCTTGCAGTCCAGGGGTTGCCTTCTACTCATCGCCAATCCATACTGGAAATAAAAGATCAAGGTTTCCTGTCCAGTTGTGTCCGACTCTTGGCCGAGGTAGCCAGCCTTATCCAAAGACAATTCCTGTGGTCAGGTGCACAGAATGCTGTTACCTTCTCATTGACGTGGTACCTATTGATCTACTCGCATTTGCACGATTTAGAACAGGGGTCCTCAAACTTGGCCCTTTTTTGACTTGTGGACTTCAACTCCCAGAATTCCTCAGCCAGGCACTTCAGGGCCGGCTGAGGAATTCTGGGAGTTGAACTCCACAAGACATAAAAGGGCCAAGTTTGAAGACCCCTGTCTTAAATCTAACAAACAAAATGGAGGCTGGCTGAGGAATTCTGGGAGTTGAAGTCCACAAGACATAAAAGGGCCAAGTTTGAAGACCCCTGTCTTAAATCTAACAAACAAAATGGAGGCTGGCTGAGGAATTTATTATTTATTTATTTATTTATTATTTGAATTTATATCCCGCCCTTCTCCTTGCGGACTCAGGGCGGCTGACAATCAATTAAAAACACCACTAACAATCACAAGTTAAAATTAATTAAAATGAAATATTTAAATTGTCTAATTAAAAAGTAATTAAAAACCCCTCTAAAAAACCCCTCTTAAAAATTATCCTAGG